ACCGAGACTACATTGCAGCGCGTAAGGTGCTGGTCGCGAGAGATCTCTAGATCTTTGTTTCTTCAACCTAAAACCTTAATTGTTTCCTACTCGAGATTCTATCTTGGTTACGTTCGTAACGTCGACGTATCTCGCAGCCTTGGACGTCCCTACTGACCTCGATCTCGATCTGTTTCTCTTTTCCAGTACACACGGATTATATGGTCGAGCTGCACAAGCTATGCCATGGGAGGTACCCCTGCCCAAGATGCGGCAGCACCTTCAGCCAAAAGAGCAACATGTTGACGCATTTTAGGCACGAGTGCGGGAAAGAGCCGAGGTTCCAGTGTCCTTATTGCGGCAAGAAAGACCGGAAGTCCTCGAACACCTACAGACATATCAGAATGCATCACAAGGGCAACAACATCCATGTGTATCGATTGTATTGATCCACGAGCACCCGGACAGAGTCGACACGACAAGTGTCTCGCGCAGGAGACGAACGGCATTTCGTCGAGAGACGCCGATCACACGACCGCTCACTCGAGGCTCTTACATCTCCTCCGCTTCGCCGCTACGTCTTCGTCCTTGGCGTCGTTCGGCGGACGTACGGTGCTCGAAGTGCCGCTGGCAAGAAGGCGAAGTAGGTGCTCTCCGCGTCGTATTCTACGCGAGGAACTCAAAGCGTGGAGTCCCGGCTCGCTCTCGTTGTGTGCTCCACGATGAGTCTCCAAGTACTCGTCTGGGGTGTCTTCGGATGAACGTGTGGAGAGAGAGAGAGAGAGAGAGAGAGAGAGAGAGAGAGAGAGAAAGAGGGAAAGAGAGAGAGAGAAAGAGAGAAGAAGCGTGGCGCTCCCAATAATAAGATCTCTAACGTTGCGATGTTGTCCTCTTTCTCCTCAGGACGTCCTTCATGACCACGTAATCGCCGTTACGGTGACCATCCTGACGTATCTCGCCCTTGCTCCACCTTCGCCCCCGTGTGCTACCACCACCTCGCCACTTCGCCCTCGCGCGCGTTCTTCGGCCCGCGAAAGCGCACGCGACCTCGGGAGGTCTTTTCTCGCTTGCGACCTTTGCTCGCTCGTCTCTCTTTTGTCGTGCCTCTTCCGTTATGTTCCTTTCCGTTCTGGCCGAGCTAAACCACGCTCGCCTCGTGTTCGCGACCGACTAACCGTGGCCCCGTTCTTCCTGTTCGTAGGACAACTCCTGCAGCCTTACGACGCCGGCATTCTGGACATCCTGAGGGCGAGCTACGCCGGCAATCGGAACGAGGTGAAGCACGAAAACGGGCCCTTCTGGCGGCAGTCCGGCAAGATGGCGTATCACTGTCCCAGATGCAACGCGGGCTACACCTACAAGAAGACCCTGAAGACTCACATGAAGTACGACTGCGGGAAGGAGCCTAGGTTCAAGTGCCCTTACTGCAACAAGAGGGACAAGTGTTCGTCGAACATTTACAAGCACATTAGGATGCGGCACGACGGAATGCCGGTGATCGTGCACAGAAATTAGGGTCAGCTGTTTCCTCTACTTCCGTCTCTCGTCGTCAGCCCGTCGGGCAGTCGTTTCCACTTCCTTTGGACTGTATCGCAAACGGCAGTGACTCGCGCGAAGGATTACTCTGAAGTGACTTTGAGGATTCGGGTGCTTAATTGTAGTTACTACTGTACCTACTACTCAGTATTACATACTGAATTATAACGTCGGACGCGGGAAATCTGTTTGGGAATCTTCTTCTTGTGTTGCACGTCGGCGAGGTAAGTCGACGTTCAATGAAATATTTTCCCCGGTGAATTCTACCAAGGTGGCGGAGCGCTTTGGACCGTACATCGGTGAATAAGTCTCGACCAGTTGTCGAAGATAACCTACTTCGATGTGTAACACAAAGTGAAGTGTGATTTCTGACGTTGTGATTCAATATGATTGCTGTGAGGAAACGGGAGCCTTAAAAGGGAGAAAAAAGAAGGAGGAGGCAGAAAGAGAGAGATAGAGACGATTTTCAATCTCTTTCCTCGCGATTTTCTTCCATTTTATTTTGATTCTGTTGACGGAGAAAAACGACTATAGCTGAATTGATGTGGCAATGAACGGACCGAACATCTTTTGAAGGAAATAGGATTTCTGATTTTTAGAATCGAATTTGTTTCAGAAATTCCGTTTCCTTCAACCAAAACGGCTCGTTTATTACTTGAATCCAATTTTTTTTCTCCATGTGTATCGACTATTATATTGTTTTAAGATATAATTTTTTAAATTTCTTTATTGATTTAAACATTTACTCAGTCTTCTCTCTATTGCTGTGAATAGGTTCTCTCTATTACGAAGAATTACCTTCTCTGGGCATTTGCGATTAATCGATCTTATAAAGCCTGGATCGAGGAACGTTAGTTCAATAGTGTATGTAAGAAGTGTAATTAAATAGACAAGAATGGTGGGTGGTACTAAAAATAAATTGAATAAGGAAAGTGTATTGTGTGCGTAAAGCGTGAATGGAAGAAAATCTACGTCAGAATTATTTATTATTTGTTCCTTGCTCCAAGCACTCTCATAGGTACTTTCTCATAAGTTTGTCTCGCTGCTTCGCGAGATCAGATCCGATCGTCTCGACTCGAGAGATGCATTCAGTAGTGAACGTACAGGCCCTTCTTTAGAATTGATCTGTTTCTAAATTTTTAGCAAGGAGTGCAAAGGAAACTTAACAACGTCCGACTCGCCGAAATGTTCGCAATGAAAGTCTGCGAGGAAGATAAATGTGTATTATGTGAATTTATGTAAGAAAAGAAAACATGTCTCGATTGTTCCTTCGACTGTAAGTTCTTATCGTGTACGCATCCAACACAAAATTTGTAGTTTTCTTAAGGAGAATCGATCCGAGCGCATTTTCAAAAGGGCTCAAATCTATTTCGCGACGAAGCTATCTTTCTATCTTTTGAACAATAGAAGACGCGTCTCCGAGAGCGCACTTTCGCACGTTTCTGAAGCAAGAGGGATAGATGGATTGCCCTTTTGGAAACGTCGCGTATTGCAGTTGCAGGCAACCGTATTGCAGTTTGTGCCATTTGCGTGTCTATGTACAGTCGACAATCTCCGTTAACGATGCTCGAGTGTATCGTTTACCTCAATAAAGCAGTGAAGAGATCAACGTGAAAGAATTGATTGCGACGATTGCGTCGTTCGAGAAAACACCTTCGAACTAACTAAACTGTGCTGTCCCCGTACATGGCCATTCTCGCAATAGCCGTGGGATCAATTTTTACGTGTGCTTTTGTGCAAATTTGCCGGGGAATGTTCACGTGGCAGTCCACGGACTCGTTGCAGAGTCAGAGCGGAGTTTTAATTCTCGTGTCAATCGAGTCTTCTTGCGTAGTCGGGGAGGATCTCTTCGTGCGAAATGCAAATAATCCTCGCGTCCTCAGGTCGATACTGTTGCGACGAGCTTACGCGAACTTTTGTGAACTCGTAAGATCTATCAGCGTATAATAACGAGAACCATTTGTACATATATGCGAATAAAATCCATATTTATTGCACGCGACTTTACTTACGCATCCGCGCAGCATCGCCTCGAGAGGAAAAGCAGCGGACGATCTGTTCTCTTTTCATTTTTTAGCCTTCTTAAGTCTCTGGTCCGATGAGTCCCGCGGACTTAAGGGGAAACGTCACGTTTATATTTCGACCGACTATATGCAAACTGTAATAAACGACAGGTCCACATATTTTGACTCGTAAGGAGCAGCTGTTACTCGCACTCGTCACTGTTGTAACTCCCGTGTCTGTAATCTCGTCCTTAGCTAGCTCGAAGCTGCTTTTCAGCGACGCGGCTGTAGAAAGACCAACTGGAACCTTGTCCTCTCGAATAAGCGTAACTCCAGAAAGCCACGTGAGAGGAAATAAAAACATTTGCGCTTTTACCACCCCTCGAAGCGCATTTTTGACACACCGATGTTGCGTGACTCGTAGTTCAACACTGTGCTCGATGTGTTCAGTTCCGTTATTGTCGGAAGACTCTTTCGTTCGTTTCTCGTAGAGCAAAATAGGACTCGGGACGTATCGGAGCGTATACTGAGCGATGTCGGCACTCTCGATCTTCACGTCGCGATATCCGCGCGACGAGAAGCGAAGTAAAGAAGTAAACGGAAGAGAAATTGGCAGTCAAGCTGAACGCGACACGATGAGTTGCGATTTCGGATGTCTCGCGGAGTCTCGCTAACGGATCCTATCGCTTAGCTACGTTACGATGTCGTCAGGAATGCCCGAGGCGTACCCTCCATGCGTCACGGATCGCGCCGGGGGAAAGATCGCCCTGTGGTATTAACGTTCCGCTTGCTTTCAGATGTACCGCTGTCGGAATGGGGCGGCATGCAAACGGTCACCAGCTATATCTGCCCGAAGTGCAACGCGGGCTTCCGAAGGATGTGGGACCTGATTAGGCACAAGTGCGGCCAGACACCGCGATACGCCTGTCCCTACTGCCACAAAAAGGACAATTCGTCCTCGAACGTTTATAGACATATCAGACGGTGGCACCCGAAACTGCCGGTCGGTGTGCACAAGATGTTCTGAGCAGATGAGAGAGTCGGCGAATCATGCGATACAACTGAAAGAGAGAAAGTATACCTGTCTGTAGAGAATAAATTTAGAATACCTGGCTCGTAATTTTCGACACTTGTGTTTCTTACACAAAGATCCTTCTCCCGTAAACATCCGAGATGCTGTGTCCTGAGTATCAATAAGGACTTTTATTGTCTATATTTTTCAATGTTCACTATATTTTTGACTCGATGTTTACACAGTGACTGGATTTTTCTGATTTCTTTGGAGATATTTCGAACAGCATTTGCTTCCTTTTGGCAGCCGTGATTGTGATTGATTTATTCTTTGATTCTTTTATTATGCAGGTATTTCATACGAAGATACGCGAGGAAGAATGATTGCGGTCCTCTTCACATACGTGTTTGTCGATCGATATCGTTTAATCAATATTTCATTTGAGAAGTGCGGTGAAAAAAGAACTGGGCAGATGGCTCGTAGAATATTTGCAACCTCTGCTCGTCAAAAGATCCATATGCAATAATTTTTAATTGTTAAATGATTTTTTTAAATAGTTTATGCATGTCAGATTCTTCGATTCCATTAGTGTGCGTCTCGTTTCACAGGAATTTAATTTTGTGCATTTTGAGTTCTAACTTCATATTTTGCTGATTGCGTCTCAGGGTGTGGCCTTCCAAGCGGCGGTATCGATTCTCTCCATAAGGCGTCAACGACTACGAGACTGTCATCACTAGATGCGAGTGTTATCCGGCGAACAGTCGCGAGTATCCCAACGAGCAATCTGCTCTTTCTAGGAAAAGTGTGCTGACTCACGTTATTTCTGAGTTTTGAACAACACTCGCTCGTTTTTCCAACAGTACTTTAAACTTAGACTCAAATTTCAACTCCGCTTCAACACGTCAGTCGCAATGCTCTGGAACAGAGTTAAAACTTGAGTTCAAGTTTAAACTGTTGTCGAAAAAGCGACTCTTAGTTCCGGACACGTTGAGAGTAGCACGACTCCAAGCAACTCGTTAGTGTCACCACAATGTCACGTGCACCTCCTGTTTGTCATTTACAGACATCATTATCTATAAGCACGCTAGGTATGTACATTACCCACGTATCATCAGGATGATAATTTTACGAGAAACGATAGCCGGGCACCGTGGCTGCGCCTGACAGTTCAGTTAACATCACCGTGTAACATTCGCAAATCGAATGTGATCGTTTCGCTGTGAGTTTTGGTCATCTAACTCTAAGACGGAGCTCGCACGCAAAACGTCAGCGTGGACGGAAGTGGCGTGACGATGGAATCGAGTAGAGAACACGAGTAACCGGAGTCCAGATGGTCGCGAGTTTACCGTACTACTGTTTGGTGTTTACCGTTATTGTGACTGCACCACTGAGACTCGAGCTTCGAACATTGGGTAAAATAAACTGAATGGCTTCATCTATGTTGATTTTCGATCGGTGTATGGTTTGTGCGCTTGCTGCAAGTGTAACGATATTCACACGGAGGAAAGAGATTGGTCGAATTAGCGTGACAATGACGCGACTCTGAACGCGTTTCAGTTGGGGGGAACAAAATTTCTGATTCTGGTGAACCAAATACGGTTCTTAAGAACCAGAAATTCTGTTTCCAAAAAAATTGGTGGAATTAACGTGACGATGACGCAACTGAACGCGTTTTGATCGAAGGAAACAGATTTCTGTTCTTTGTGAGCGAAATTCCGGTCCTTAAGAACCACAACATTTCGCTTCCGAGAAGTTTAGTTGAGTTAACGTAACAGTAAAAAAGCTAAGTTTATTATGTTTGAAGGAAACAGAATTTCTTGTTGAAGAATCGAACTTGGTTCGTGTGAGCCGGAAATTCTGTTCCCTTCAACGCATTCGATGGCCTCATTGCCGCGTTAATTCGACCGATCTTTTCTCTCCGTGCAGGACCGAGAACGATCCGTGCTACTTTGCGACTACAGCGGATGGGTGAAAACCTCACCTTCCCACATACAGCTCCGTCCCTTGCTCTGGACGCGAATGCCGCGAATCGGCATCGGTCGTTCTCGCTCCGAGCTGTTTCTGATACATACATCCACTCCGTGAAAAATCCTCACCGATTACGTTCGTCCGAGCGCGCTGAGCTAGTCGGAGCATTTGTTGTATACGGGTCTTATCCTGTCGAACGACGTGCCGTCGTGTCCGACAACGCGGATCCGCGCACGTCCACGCATCTCGAGCGAGAACTCTGACTTGAGAAGAGCGAACATCGCGCGCAGTGTCGCCGCCGCTAATCGGCCCTTCGAATTTTTCAGGTACTCGCCAGAGCGCCAGGAAGCGGCGGAAAGTTTACTCCATCAACAAGAGTCACTACTGCCCGCGCTGCAACCGCGGCTTCACCCTGAAGAAGAACATGACGAGACACCTGCGTCACGAGTGCGGCATGGCGCCCAAGTACCAGTGCCCGTACTGCGACAAGCCCTCCAAGTTCACGCAGAACATTTACGCGCACATCCGGAAATATCACCCGGGTCAGACGCTCTACTTCAGACGGCTCTATTGAACGGCATCTCGAAGAGGGCGGCCCGAGGACACGCACGAGTGTTCGATCGTATCGTTTTCCCTCTCTCGCCCTCAGGACTCGGGAAATACAGAGAGAGAGAGAGAGTGAGGGTGCTGTGCTCGTCGAAGTGAGACGATGGTGCGATGAGAAACTCGAATAGAATTCCTCGAATTGAGTTACTCGCGCAGAGAGTGTCGGCTTTCGTCCCGACTCCGCGATGCAGGGGATTGAGAAGACGCGAACGACCGTTTTCCTTCATGCAAGTCGAAGAGGAGATCCCGGGAGGATCCGAAAAGTCAGATGAATTCAGCAACTTTTGCACGTCGCGCGCCTTCCTCTTTTAACTGTGACGGACGTCTCGATTTCAGGTACCGCTCGCGTGATGTGTTGTTCGACCGGTTCGCCTGCGAGTGCCGCGACAGGTGACACGTCAACGGTGAGGAGCCGAAAGAGCGCGAGAAGCACGAATGCGACGCAGCCTGAAATGTATCTGACAACGGTTAGACGTCGGCAGTGATCTCATTAGGATTTCCTCACGTGTTAAGTGGTAGATCGGACATTTCTATCGGGGCTCTCAGATCAACCCTTGATCATCGATGCTGATGTGGCATCGGTCAACTTTTATGTCTCTGTGAGAAACAAACATCGCTCCGGAAAGATATTTAATCGACAAAGTGAAAGTAATATCAATGAAAGTCAATGAGAATCGGTACGCTGATTATTATTGCGCAAAAATGATTCTATATATTTACCAAAATAATTATTTACGCAGTGTATTTACAATGTAATTTTAATCAAATGTTTTGCTTTCTGTTCTGCAATGGGTCTTGCAATGGGTTCCTTTTTGATGCTCGTATTAGATAAGAAAAATTCGTGAAGTCAAGGTGAAGATTTTTCTTATTTATTTTATTTGATTGAAAGGGATACCGTTATAGAAAATGTACATTTTGTTAGCATTGTATACACTGCATAAACAATTGTCTTTTGAAAACAGAATTACGCCTGCACTTTAAAATTAGTGTATTAGCTATCATTGGTCCTTATTTGTATCTTTTACTTTGTAGATTTTATGTTTCTCTACTTCCTGTTCGGCTTCCATAGTCGGCCCTCGAACGTGAAGTAAAACGAGTGTGACGAGGCTTCTTGATTCGTTGCCATTTTCTCGGTATCTACATTTGTATCGATAAGACTTGAAGCAAGCTGCTGAGACAATGATACGAAATGTACCGCTCACTTGCGAATGCACTGACTTTCCCGTTTCTTCTCATGATTCCGCAGGGATAAGAAAATAAACGAAAAGTTTCCATGTACTTTTCCGCATAAACTTTGTAGGAATTACTCGGCAAGTCCCTGGCGAGCAGTAAACTCCACGGTATCACACCTTCTTACGTTCCAGTTTTATACCCTCCGTCTTTCATCATACCGCGAGTCATCGCGCTATGCTCTTCTGTGCTCACTGCTCTGTCCGTACGTACTGCGTTATATGTGCCTTATCGTCATAAATAGAGTTACTTTTGCGATATCCAATCTTATGCGTATATGTGTAAGGTTGAAAATCGCGTTACTCTGCGCCAATGGGATGGTACGGTATACACATTGAACAATGTGTGGTATTCATAGCTAGGTCTTAGTTTAAGTTCTTCTTCAGGTGCTGCACGGATCATTTCATTGGCAACGAAGCTTCTTAAGATGAATTTAGGACGAGATCTTAAGTATAAGATCAGACTATAAATACCACTCTATAACAAACTAGAACGAACATTGCCGCTGTTTCCGTTCGATGACCTCGAACTGAAAGAGACAGTGTCGAAATAGAATCTCTGGTCTGTTTCTCGAATACTATCTGAATAAAAAATAAGACTGTAGGGTGATTCAGTGGTACTTACGACCTTCCACAATATTGATTATTCCTGAATCATCCTGTACACAGAAGTGTAGTATGTTACTACAGAGACATAAGACAGAGAGGACGATACTGTTTAAAGATAGTCCTCGCCTTACAGCCCGATTCGATTTCTGTCAGACCGATTCCAGTTTGTTGCACAGTTCAATGGATATACATGACGCTGACTGTACGATCTCATTGTTTTTCAGCGCAAGGTATCGCCGACGTGGCCGACTGGCGTCGCGTTCACTTGGCCGCCGCCGGCGCCTCCACGAAAGCGGGTAAACGCAGCGCACGAAAGAGACTTGTTTGAAATTGTCACTCTTAAGTGTTACCTACTGCACAGCCACCCGCCGTCAGCGAATCGCTGTCAACTGACGAACAACCTGTGCTTTACAGCTGTCTACATTCGCACCGGCACCTGTTACGGCATGCTGCCCGTCGGCGGTCACCGGCGTCGTTGCTACACCGACTCGGGCATGACGATGAACACCACGACGCGTGGCACCTTCGAGTGCCCCACGTGTGGCAAGAGCTACAAGTGGTACCGCGGACTGCACAGGCATCTCAAGTACGAGTGCGGCAAGGCGCCGCGCTTCAGGTGCCCGCACTGCGTCTACACCGGCAAGCATCGCTCGCACGTCTACTCGCACATCAAGAGCAATCATCAGGATCGGCCGGTCTACGCCATCGATATTCAGCAAGATTGAACTCGCGAGGTAGCGGTGGACTCGCGAGGCCTGGTTGCTCGCGCGACACCAGACGAGATTGACGAATAAACGCGTCGCGCGAGTTCCATGTAGCCATGTTGACGTTCCTTCGAGACTGTTAGATCTGCGTGAACGAGGATTTCTATTGTCTAGTACGATACGCGAGCTACGACTACGTACTTCGAACGTTGAAGGTGTCTCGTTGAGATTTTAAGCTCTTTCGCTCAGTTAACTGATGTCTGTGATCTCTCTGTCCACTGGCGAGCGAATTGCTGTTATTTTCTTTTCTCATACACGATCAACGTGTTCCTTGCAATATTTTGTTTTCGTTAATAATCTCTCTGTATACTGTATGTTCGTTTCCCGCAGTCAAGTTTTTCATATTAATGTTAGATTCAGCGGGTTGATTGTTTTCAGTGATAATACGAGCCACACACGCAGATTTCTGTATACTACAGCTGCATTTCGAAATGTACCAACAGGTTTCTGGAAATCCATAGTATATGCAACGTCAACTATAGATTCTCAGTATTATCAGTACGTTTCGGAATGCAGTCTACATTAAATTGCCAACAATGACTCGAAACATAAAGTTATCATTTGTCAAGTAGTCAAGCAGATCATACATAGGATACCACATGCGGAAATGTTATATATTTTAAACCCGTATTAATACTCGTTATTTGAAACCCCGTATTATTACTCGTTATTTGAAATTTTTCACACTCAGAGACACTCAAGCTTGAATTTAGAGCTGGAGATCTGAATTTTTCAATTAAATTATGTAATGTATACTTATGACATTATATATTCAACTGAAAAACTCACATTTAACCTTAAATTCAAGTCTGAGTATATCATTTGAGATAAATTCCAAATAATGACTATTAATAGGAGCATTGAAACGCCCGTTTCTACAATCAGTTACACAGCAATTGGTAAGCATATCTTTTGTATCTCTCATCAACGTTACGTCAGTCTTTTACGTTGAGTACAGCCACATGTAGCAACGTTCCACATGGCAAAATTCCACAACACTAATACTTTTGTCCACCCGACATATCTCTCATCGTCATATCTTCCATTGCACATCATATTTTACCTCATCTTGTTGGCATAGTACAATATGTTATGTAGAAGTCTGCGATCACATTTGACTCTACGTTATGTACAACGTTGTTTTGTTCGTCCCTTATTGGATCACCATTTTTCGTCTTATTTATTATTGTATATAAATAAATACTACACATATTTATTGTTTTTGGTCGATCTAATAAGCAAATTGTTTATTAAACTGTTTATTAAACTTTCTACTCGCTACGAACTGCTCTTTCTTTTTTTTTCGACGCTCGACGTATATTTTCCAAAGACGCCAAAGCATGTCCCTAGGCTTATAATTATCTCCCTTTGGGATACAGAAATTATATTGTAACTATACGCAAGTAATACGGTAATACATAAGGTAATTTACTATATTATGGTCGAACGAATATTGATATGTACATAGCTCTGAATTTTATGCATAAATTTAACATTTAAGCAAACACAGAGATTCTGACCCGCAACAGTTGTCTCTCTTTCTCTCTTTCTTTCTTTCATTTATAAAAGAAATGATTTTTCTATCCACAAGTATAACCCGATCCATCGCCCTCCATACGTTTCTTCCAGCTACTCTCCATTGTGACTTTATTCTTTCTTGTGTTTCACCGACTTGTCCTTCAACGCCTTCAGCATGTTGTACCAAGATATCGTGTGTCTTTTCCCCTAGCGTGAACTCGTGAAAAGTGAGAAGTTTCATTGAATTCACCAATGAAACCTTCTGCGAGTTCACGCCAGGGAAAAAAAACACTTGATCGATACCCAACGTTGTGACGATTTCACACCAGTTGCCTCCCTCCCAAAGCCCTCCAGATTTCTGCGTTGCTTCTCCCGATGACACGCGACGAGATCTCCCGGTAGATCTACGATTGCACCGAGAGTGTGCGATCCTTCCCAACTAGAGATGTCGCGAAGCGAGGCTTCGCACCTCTATTTCTCTCTCTCTTTCTCTCTCTCTCTTTCTCTTTCTTTCTCCGTCCTGGTGACCGACGAGTTTTCCCCGGCAGAGTCGAGGACGAATCCAAGAGACCGCGAGCGCGGAACTCCCTCGTGCGTGCACGCGTCGCCCCGACTAACCGGCGCGAATTCTCTTTTTTCAGGTTCGTTTCCAGTCCTGAAGTGGTCTCTGCAAAGCCACCGTACCGTCGCCTACAGCCCGAAGATTCCCTATCGCCACCACTGCCCCAAGTGCAACCGCAGCTACAAGCACCGCAGTCACATGACGCGGCATTACAGATACGAGTGCGGCACGCCGCAGCGATTCGAGTGCCCGTATTGTAAACACCACTTGCGGCAGCGCACGCACGTTTGGACGCACATACGCACGTTCCATCCGAACAGCGAGCTCTACTGCATCGACATCGTCACCAATGCGAGACTTTCCTGGCATCGGAATGACTAAGGGCCGGCAGTCGGACCTTCACGTCGCGTTCTCATTTCAATCGCGTCATCGGCCGATTTTTTTCGAATATTTCGCCAGAAGGACCGATGTATTTCGTGTACATATTGTTTTATCGTTTTTCTATATTTTTTATTTTCTTTTTCGGGCGAATATTACACGTGCATTTATATATATGTATATACATATATATATATATATATGTATATATATATATATATATATATATATATAACTCTAGAAAACTCGTAAAACTCTAGAACATATATATATATATATATATATATATATATATATATATATATATATATATATATATATGTATATATATATATA